CTTGACTAGAGGATTTAGGTAGCCAGACCGATCTCCTATTGTCCTTGATCCTGCAATGGTAAAAAGTATGATTAGGTTTTCCACAATAAAAACACGACGGATTTTTTGGATTTTTAGAATCCCTTTCTACTATGATTCTGTTCCTGCACTGGTTAGTGTTGTGATCATTTTTACCACAATAAAAGCATCCCTGAGAGTTTCTAGTTCTAATCAAAGATGTATTAGGAACAATCTGATTTGATTTGACATAACTATGACTTGTGGATTTTCATAATCCATTCAGTAAAAGTTGAAGTTCATTAACTTCATCTTGAAGCATGTCACGCTCAATTTCACAAACTTCCAGCTTCAAGGCCCAGTCTTTCTTTTCTCTTTGGATTTTTCTGAGTTCATTTAGAACTCTTTCAATATCTGCAAGGGCAATATCAATAAACTCTTGGAGTTCATAACAGTTGGGACATGTAGGAAGACGTACCTTACTGGTTCCCTCGTCTGCCATAACACAAAGTTCACCTAAGTCTTCTTCCTCGTTTGCCCCTTTGTCTTCCATGAGCCCAAGCTCACCCGAGTCCTTATTGCTATCTTCTTTTATGACCATGAAACACATATTTGCAATTTCTTCATGGTCAGATTCTTCTTCATCACTCTAGGCTCCAAAAGACTTCTTCTTTTGAAAGTTCCTGCTGAGCTTTTTCTTCAGTTTGGGACAATCAGTTTGAATGTGTCCATATTTTCCACATTCGTAGCATATTCCATCATTTTTATCGTTTTCATTATTCGTCCTTCCTTTTCTGAAGTTTGATCTACCTCTTCTGCTATTTCTGTTTTTCCTCATCATGCTTGTTACAACTTGGGAGAGCATGGCTATATTTTCATCATGTTCTCCTCCTTCCTCTTCTTCTTCATTTTCTTGTTCAGCCACAGTTGCTTTAAAAGCAACCATTTTCTTCTTTTCTTGTTGAATTTGCCTGTCTAAGTGAGTTTTTTTAAAGGCAATTAGATCACCTCAAAGTTTATCATAGGACATTTTGTCAAGGTCCTAACATTCTAGAGCAATAACCTTGGGCTGCCAAATTGTTGGTAAACTTCTAAGAATTTTTCTAACCTGTTCTCCGCTTTTGATTGGTCTACCAAGAGATTTTAGATCTCCAAGGATTTTGTTAAACCTGGAGAATATTTCCTCCACTGATTCTTTATCTTTCATTTGAAATAGTTCATAGTCACGAACTAGAAGATTGATCCTTGTTTCTTTCACCTTATTGGTTCCTTCATATGTGACCTTCAATTTATCCCACATTTCCTTAGCAGTTTCATAACTTGAAATCTTTTCATACTCTTCTCCATTGATAGCATTATACATAAGATTTTTTGCTTTGGCATTCACAGTTATGACAATAGCTTGTTCATCAGTGTAATCATCTAAGTCAAGTGGATAAAATTGATACTATGACTTGACCATTCTCATCTTCCTTTGGCGGAATTGGAAGATTTCCCTTTTTGATCACACGCCAAACTTTGATGTCATATGATATAGTGTATGTTTCCATCCAAACTTTTCAGTCAGAAAAGTGTTGTCCGTTGAAATATGGAGGTCGTACCTTAGAGGTTTCTTCTTGAAATAATGCACCGACGACTGTGTTTGATCCCATGATCTTTTTCTCACTAGCTATTAAGCAAAGTTTGTGAGTCTTGCTCTGATACCAATTGAAAGTACACGGGGGGGAAGGGGTGAATTGTGGTCGATTAAAACTTAGTTGACTAAATATGAGTTTAGTCGACTAGATTCTGCACAGTGAATAGTTAAAGAGAAATAAACCAAGCAAACTGAAAGATAACAGGACACAATAATTTTTATACTGGTTCCGTACCGGTGAGGTACTTACATCCAGTTTCCCTTGGGTCACAAGGATTTTCTTATATCTTTGATAATAGGTTGTAATGGTGATGGTTTTGGTTCGCTCACCATCAATGATATTCAACGATAATTGCTTTTGTAATGTTGTCACAACTCTCTTTTTGTGTTCTATCTCTTCCTATCTTTTATGACACATGTAGACTCAAGAATATAGTGTTTGCACTAAGAACTAGAAAGGTTTAGAACCAGTTTGTGTAGTTGCGTGTTTAATCCTTGAGTTTGCCAGTCTTCTTATAGGCGAGATTTGAGAGCTGTTGTAGATTTGTCTTTGATAGATGCACACAATATTTTACTGATATTTGATTCAAGAAAGGTGCCTCTAATTCTTTCATGAGAGATGGGCTGGATTTAATAAATTCAGGGAGTGCTCCATGCCGAGATCCAGGGAGTACTTTCATGCTCCATGCTTTGTCGAAGAAAGGAGCAACACCTCAAATTGTCTCCATTTGATGGGCTGGATTAACTTATCGAGGGAGTGCTTCCATGCTCCATGCTTTATTGGGGAAAGGGACAGCACTTCAAATTGTCTCCCATTACGTTGTGATTCTCACTCAAATTATCTCCTATTATGTTGTATTTCCCTTCCACTTAGAATCTCCCGTTTTACAGAATCTGCATACACTTCTTTCTGGATTTGCAGGTGAGTTACATGTAAGGTAATGGTTCAAGATACATAGCCATTGAGTGGATCTTCATTCCTTTTAGCAATGATGTTGCTCACCAGAATCTGCATACACTAATATAACATTAGTCAAGACTTCTTTACGGATATTGATCATTATTAAAATTCTAAACTTAACCGTGGCAACGAGTTATACAATGGCCACAAATCGTACATGTAGGGGAAGATGAATAGGAAAAGAAATACTTAATCTAGGCAATTGATAGCATGATTGTGTTGCAAATGATAGAGGAAAGCAGAGCGACTTCTGTGACTAATACTAATCATATACAGTTATTGATACTATATAGGATAACAATTTGTACTTTTTAAACAAATATTTGGAGGAAAAAATTAGTTGTACTGTTTTAATCCTTAAAGTTTCCTCCAAACAATGGATTAAAATGACATTTTTAAAATTCCGGCAAGGTCCTTTTTTATTTTTATTGTTTGTTTTTGGATTAAGAGGGTTCGCTTTCCATTTTAAAAGGTGAGGAGTATCGTTTCCTCACCCTAAAAGGTTAAGGAGTAAAGTGAAATTTACTCTAACATTTGTGTACTGAAACTATAATTGTACGATGACCGAATATTAATATGATTATTGAATTGGTGTAATTATTATAATAATCAGTTAATGTAATCCGGGACGGAGCTAGCCCTTCAGATATGAATTGGGCTGAATTCAGTAATTTTTGTCCAAACTATGTATTTGTCTTAAAAAATTATTGAATTATGCACAAACTATTAATATAAAACCGAGTAACTTAAAAGAATTAGAATACTAAACTCATAAGTTTCAAATCCGCCTATGCATGTAATTCAAACCAAACAGACTAATAGCTTGTTTGGCCAAGCTTATTCAAATTCAAAATCACTTTTTTTTTCAATTTTTTTTTCCTCAAAGTTGTAGTGTTTGGACAAGCTTTTAAAATAAAAAAAAAATACTTTTGAGTACAAGCAGAAGCAGTTTTGGAGAAATAGAAAAAAATAACTTCTCTCTAATAACACTTTTTTTTAAAAAATACTTTTGAAAAAAAATATACTTAGAAGCAATTTTTAAAAGTTTGGCCAAAAAGTAATATTAGAATACTTCTACTTTAACGTGTCATTAAATGCATTTTTACTCCTTAAGTTTGCTAAAGGTTAAATGAAAAAATTCATAAGTACCCCTTGAACTATAATCATATTTTCAACTACACACTTTTATTTTAGGGAGTGTCCTCTTATCCCATAAACTATTNGGTCCTATTATCCCCCTAAACTATTTTAGAATAGAATTATTTCCACCCTAAAGGCTTATGTGTCAATGTGTGTGTATTCCACTCTCTCAAAGAGAATGAGGAGTCAATTTTTTTAATTAAAAATATATTTTCTTACCTTTCCTTTTATTTTTCTTTGCCTTTTTCTATAATATTCTTTTCTTCTCTTCTTTACATGAGGTTCATTCGAACACAACATACACCGACAACGTCTGGACAAAAGATTCTGTCATCGGAAAGAAAATTCGCGCCGAAAAAATGGAGTCCTTGAAATTCTGACGATCACCTATATTCTTTCTTTCTTTCTTTTTCTCTTCCTCCAACACACTTTCAAGAAAAAAATATACATATATAAAGCAAAAAATCATCAGATTTGGACAATAAAAATCTGCCACCGGAAATTTTTTTCGTGCCGGAAAAAATGGAGTCCTTGAAAATTTCGACGACCACCATTTTTCAGCTTATATTCTTTCTTTCTTTCTTTCTTTCTTTTTATCTTCCTCCCACACATAAATCACACTTTCAAGAAAAAATTATACATATATAAAGCAAACGCACTCAGATCTGAACAAAAAAATTAGTCACCGGAAAGTTTTTTCGTGCCGAAAAAAATAGAAAAATGGAGTCCTTAAAATTCTGGTGACCACCATTTTTACGCCGCCCATAATCACTAGTGATATTCACCATCTAAAAGTCTTCCACCACAATAGTCATTTAAAGGCCTCAAACCAAGAATAACAACAAATTAGACTTTTAACAAGTTAAAACTTTAAGGAATTATTTCATATATACAAATCGTTTCATCCATGAAAGAAGAAAGAAGACTATATTAATTATATATGAATCAATTTATCTAAGAGAAAAGGAGAAAGGATGAAAGAAGACTATATTAATTATATATGAATCAATTTATCTAAGAGAAAAGGAGAAAGGATGAAAGAAGACTATATTAATTATATATGAATCAATTTATCTAAGAGAAAAGGAGAAAGGAAAAGAAAAAAAAGAAAAAAAATTAATTTTAATGAAATATACATGTGTCAAGCGAGTGTTGTTAACAGTCCAACAATAGTTTGTGTAGTTAAAAATATGGTCATAGTCGAGGGTTAGTTATGTATTTTCCCAAGGTTAAATACTAAAGGTGACTGTTAAAAAATTAACAAAATGCAGCAGTAAAAAGCGAAACCCACGAGTTCCCCCAATTCATGAACCCTAACTCTCTCAACAAAAGATGTGAGAAGAAAACTCAACTGAAAACTCAACAAAAGATGTTAGTATATAGTGATGAGATCTAACTATCGGTAAGTTTGCTCTGTGTTTCTTGCAAGTTGCTTTCCTATTTTTCATTTTTTTTTCCAATAGAGTTAAGAAGTTTTTACCATAGTTATTGGAACATAGGAAGAGAGATCTTGAAATGTTTATTACCAAGCCCCTATCATGTCATCGTTATAAAGTCCTAGTTTACTGCTTGACCATCTATTGCTTATGGTTTCCACTTTACTCTTTCGTCTCAGGTTCAACGCTAATAGACTTTAGTTACTGGCTAGAATCACTGAACTTCAAGAGAAATCGAAAGTCTATGATGCTGCCGACAGTGAATGTACCGAGCCTGAGATTGAAAGTTGTCATACATGAAGACTGAATTAATGGAGATTGAGGAATTGGGGGAAAAATTGACCTACTCCCATAGATAATTTTGGCACATATTACAAAAAGATTTGGTTTGGTATTCAAAAGGTAGAGCCAAAATGAATAGCGTTGTAGTGTTGGACAATGGCGCGGGCCTAATCAAGGCTGGAATAGGTGGCGAAAGAGACCCAACAGCTATTGTCCCAAACAGCACTGGGCGTCCACTCTCTTCCAAGAAATGGCTTATGGCGGATCAGCTCCTTTCCTCTGACGTGGACCTTACTTCCGCCACTGTCCGCCGCCCTTTCGACCGCGGTTACCTTATCAACCCGGACCTCCAGTCCTCCCTTTGGTCCCATATCTTCTCCAACCTCCTCAACATCACTCCTTCCCAATCCTCTCTCCTCCTCACTGAACCCCTTTTCAATCTCCCTTCAATACAACGCTCCCTTGATGAAATCGTCTTTGAAGATTTCAATTTTAAGGCTCTCTATGTTTCGGATTCCCCCTCTTTGGTCCATCTCTATGAGGCATCTCGTCGCCCTTATGGGATTGTGTCTAAAGCCCAATGCAGCTTAGTTGTGGACTGTGGATTTTCGTTTACTCATGCCTCACCCGTGTTTCAGAATTTCACATTGAATTATGGAGTGAAAAGGCTTGATCTTGGTGGGAAAGCTTTGAGCAATTTCATGAAGGAGTTAGTGAGTTACAGGAGCGTTAATTTGATGGACGAGAATTTCCTTATGGATGATGTAAAAGAGAAACTCTGCTTTGTGTCTTTGGATGTTGCCAGGGACTTGCAGATTGCTAGGAAACCGGGAAATGACAATTTGTTTAGGTGCACGTATGTGCTTCCTGATGGTATTACACATACTAAGGGTTTTCTAAAAGATCCTGAAGAAGCAAAGAGATACCTGTCTTTGTATAATGATGAAGCAGCTACGAAGCAGCAAGTAACAGCAGGAGAACAAACGGATAAGCTGCGGAGCAACGATGCATCAAGAAGAATTGATTTGACAAAAAATGAATTTGGGTTGACAAATGAGCGGTTCCTCGTCCCAGAGATGATGTTTCGTCCAGCTGACTTGGGACTGAATCAGGCTGGACTTGCAGAGTGCATTGTTAGAGCTATCAGTTCCTGCCATTCTCATCTTCAACCTCTTCTCTATGAGAGCATCATTTTGACGGGAGGCACTACTCTATTCCCTCATTTTGCTCAAAGACTAGATATGGACCTTCGGCCACTTGTCCCAGATAAATACCGTTTAAAGATTACGACTCAAGAAGATCCTATACTAGGCGTTTGGCGTGGAGGATCACTCTTGGCATCAAGTCCTGATTTTGATGCAATGTGCGTCACCAAAGCTGAATATGAGGAGCTGGGATCAGCTAGATGTCGAAAGAGATTCTTCCACTAACTTTTGTTATGTTACTTTTGAAGTTTACAAGTCTATGTTCATCTTTGGTGTTAAATGGAGGGAGAAATTAGGAGGATCGCCGGCCTCTACTGTTGCAATTGAGCTAAATATGGATGTGTTCTGAAATGTTTCTTTTTCTTGTCAGTTTCTTTTATGTATTTCAGGCCAAAATTTGTTGAAGCCTAATCTAACTGAAAGGAAATGTTAATGGCATCTTCAATACCAGAAAAACAAAAAATGGTCCAAGAGCAACAATCATGAGTTCGTCTCTCCCCTTATTATTCAGTTTTTATACCCAACCATATATGCGTTTATCTGTATGCAATACCGAAATATAGACCCGCTATCTATTGGTTAGCCTTTTCTTCTCCCTGTTTTCTGGCACTTTCTGTTTACCAGGAAAAGTCTATGTTTCTCTCAACACTCTCAACACTGAACTAGCAATAAGAAGTGGTTGCGATTTCATAAATGTAAGCTTCAATTTGTCTCTGTTTCACTTGCAGTCTGTTGATGATTTGATCATATTGGTTATGTGCTTGGCTCTTGTTATTGGTTGCTCAACTATTTGTTGTGTAACTGGTTAACTAATCTTTATTCTAGATTCAGTTTGACACTTGGTTTGATGATTTCATGTAGTTCTGATCTAAAATTTTGTTGACCATGAAAACAACAACCCAGTATAATCCCATTAGTGGAATCTGGGGAGGGTAGTGTGTACGCAGAAAGTGGTTTAAAAATAAGAACGTGCATTGGTTGTTTCACGGCACTGTTTAACTGCCTCACAAAGTGAAGGAAGATGAGACCTTTCTGACAACATGGAATGCTTTGCAGTGTACCTGAAATGATAATTGGCCCTGATTATCTGTATAAGTGTCTTCACTAAAAGAACATTAAATATTTGTTTGTGTACTGGCTCACAAGTGATTTTGCAAGGGAAAAGTCAGACTGATGGTTGATCGCTGGGAGAGTTATTCATTAGATTTTAAGGGGAAGTCATCGAGCTAAAAGGATTTATAAGATAAAATCTGTTCTATAAAACTATTTTGTTTGATGTTGGTGTGAACTTCTCCCCGCCACTTACTTCCTACGCCGGACTTCCTGAATCATCATACTGATGGAACCTCCCATACCCCATTGGGTTGGTCTTTTTTTGCCACATTGTATGTTGGGAACAGAACCCCTTTGCCTGCCAACAGTAACCACAAAATTGGGAAAAGATAGCTCAATATCATTTGAGAGGGGCTATGAGCTTCCTGATGGACAAGTCATTAAAATTGGGGCTGGGAGGTTCCGTTAACCCGAGGTCCTCTTCCAGCCATCGTTGGTTGGAATGGAAGCGACAGGAATTCATGAAAAAGCTTACAACTCAATCATGAGATGCGATGTTGGTATTAGGAAAGATTTATTTGCAAGCATTGTTCTTAGTGGTAGATCAACTATGTTTCCAGGCATAATAGATCGTATGAGCAAGGAAATCACTGCTCTTGCTCCAAGCAGCATAAAGATCAATGTGGTTGCACCACCTTAGAGGAAGTACAACGCCTGGATTGGGGGATCAAAGCACTTCCCTCTGCAGTTTCAAACAAGTTAGTTTCTGTTTGCTTTACTTCAGGATCAGTCAATCGTTCAATTTTTAACTCTTTTATATCCTCTCTTGTCAACTTCCCATGCAGATGTGTATAACAAAGGGCACGTATGATGATTTGGTCCCTCAATTGTCCACAAGAAGTGTCTCTAAGCTTGGTGAGCTTTTATATCCTCTCTTGTCAACTTCCATGTAATGATTTCTATTTTAATGAGAGATCAGTCGATTTATATTTCAATTAGAGATCATTTTTTTTTTCCCCAAGTTATACCCAATCTTGTGAACAGTGTGATATTTTAGTTTCTAGTTGTTCTGTTATCATGCTAATTTTGCTGGCTCGGGTTTATGCTTTTATTTCAAGTGATTTGGCTAGTAAGCCATGAAAATGGTGGATCGTCTGCGACTAATGTTTGTTCTATTGCTTTTCAGGTTAGACACATTCTGAGTTTTGTGGAATGCAGATTTGCTTGGCCTTCCTGGAAAACAAGCTCTTTTGGCTTGGTTATGCAGTCGAAGCCCGACTAGAAAGAGTACTCTGTGTACATCCCCATTTGCAATTCATGACCATTTTAAGTATCAACAAATATTTTAAGTGTTACCAAAGTAATGTGCTAGCAAACTGCTATAATTCACCTCCTTCTCTTCGAGTAATTTGTCAGATTTTGCATATTACGCCATGATCGATTTGCAAGTTGCAAGTTGTATAATAAAACATTACAATTAGCAATAAAGGTATAACAACATAGGAAACCAAATATATGTAATACATTGTTTGGTCTAATGAAGTAGTAGCATTTGTGTATTGAAACGAAAAGTTAATTTTTTGTACAATGATCGAAAATTAATATGATTAATGAATTGATATACTCTCTCTGTTTCAATTTATGTGAACCCATTTGATTGAACACGGAGTTTAAGAAAAAAAAGAAGATTTTTGAACTTGTGGTGTAAAATGAGGTACATATATTTTGTGTGGTTATAAATCATTACATAAAGGTAAATTGTTTCCAAATAAGGAAAGAGATCATTTTTTTGACACAGACTAAAAATGAAATATGTTTATATAAATTGAAACGGAGGGAGTAATTATTATATTAATTTGATAATGTAATCCAGACCAAACATGCTTAGGAGGGTGTTTGGGTAAGTCTAAAAGTGGGTCAAACTAGCTTACTCAATTTGGTGTTTGGTGGATGTCAGCAGGACTTCTTTGCAAAAATGAGTTATAGCCCGTTTGGCCGTGATTCTAAAATTGCTTATTTTGAGTACTATTAAAAAAAATACTTTTGGCGAGAAACAGTTTGTGTTTTGTTAATTAATTTGACTAGCACTTTTGATTAACAATTAGTGTTTGATCAAGTTTTTAAAAAGTGATTTTATGTGTATTTTTTCAAAAGTATTTTTCAGAAAAGTATTTTCGGGGAAAAATTACTTTCAGCTTTTCAAAAACTGCTTATGGTTTTTTTCAAAATCACTTTTTTTTTTCTTTCTAGAAGCTTAGTCAAACATTATAATTTTGGGAAAAGAAATACTTTGGGCCCAAAAAAAAAAATTTGGCCAAACAGCTAAATTATTTTTAATTTATATGACACAATTTGATTTGACACGCTGTTCAAGAAAAAGAGAGGACTTTTTAAATTTGTGGTTGTTAAAATACTTCTTCAAATCAAACGGAAACTACGGAGCATATATTACAAAAGATTTGGTTTGGCATTGAAAAGGTAACAGAAAGCCAAAAATGCAAGTATTGGTCCAACAACAATAATATATTTCATTTATATGCATTTACAGTTATTTACACTTCTCTCTCTCTCCAAATAATCTTTCTCATTCAGCTTTTATGTACCAAACTACATTATATATTATCATTGCAGGTTCTTTATCCATTGCAATGCTTTAATCTAAATTCTAGATTGTGCACCAGTTTTTGTGGGAGTATTTTCAAAATTTTAAAATAGCTATGTGTCTTTTTATTTTACAAGTATCCTATTTTCCAAGAGGCTTCTTGCATGAAGCCTTAAAATCAAGTGTCGACGGGCTTTGACAAGTGGCTATGCAAGTCTTCATGCATGGAAGACTAGGTACACTTGTTAATATTGAAGCCAAGTGGACTAATATATTTGGACAAGTGTTAAAAGTGTCTCCACACTTGTCATACATGCAACCTACCTACTTACCTATAAATAGGTTGTGGATTAGCCATCATACTCATTTAATTATCAACCAAGAATTCATCTTGCTAATCATTACTTTCTTCCTACAATCATTACCTATTATTATTAATTATTCTCTCCAATTTTCTGAACCTGCTGGATTTATTATTTAATTTTGCTGATTCCTGTATCCTCTAAATAAATAGAGGTAGACTTGTTTAATCCTGGGGAAACATTTCACATTGTTGAAATAGTTTCTTAGGACAGTGCCTAGCACGACTCAAGCCAATTCGTGTATCTGCTCACAAATAATATTATTGCAGTATTATCATTATTTTCGGTGATATTTTCCTACAATCTAAGAAACTATGGCAAGTAATACTACTACGAAAATTTTTGTTGGTGCTACCAATTTTGGTGTTGTCTCCGCCGCTACTGTTCTACCTGTCCTGCCAGATATCCATGGTATTGCAAATACGTTATTGCATCCACAACTTTGACAGACACTAATGTCAAAATACAGGTATGTGAATAGACATGGTTACATATCTAATGCTAATATTAAAACCTTCGAGAAAAATGCACCTCAATGCAAGAGAAGAGTTGGGATAAATGATAATCTCGCTAAGTCAAAATTAAATTTGACTAAAGCGGATAATATAGTTGTTACGGTCATTTTTCAAATAAATAATGTGACCAATGTGAGAGATTGAGTGATAGACTCTGGTGCTACTAGGCACATTTGTGCAAGCAAAAATAAATTTTTGTCTCACACCCAAGTTGAGGAAGGAGAAAAAGCTATTTATCTTGGTGACTCAAGAACAACTCGCGTTCTTGGGAAAGAAAAAATTCTTCTCAAACTCACATCTGGTAAAACTCTAGCATTGAGTGATGTGTTGCATATACCTAATATCCAAACCAATTTGGTTTCTGTGGGATTATTAGGAAAAGTTGGAGTGAAGATTTTCTTTGAAAATGATGAGGTCGTACTGACCAAAAATAATATTTTTGTGGGTAATGAATATTATAACCATGGTTTATTTATGCTTAATATTTCTGATACTAGCAATGAAAATGCATCTTCTTCTACCTATATGGTTGAATCTGTTTCTTTATGGTATGCTAGACTAGGACATGTTAATGTCGCTTATATAAAGAAAATGCAGTCGCTAGGATTAATATCTGATTTAGACTCAAATAATATTAACAAGTGTGAAATATGTGATGAAGCTAAAAGTACTAGAAAGACTTGTTTTTCTATAAATAGAGAAACTGAATTATTATCCTTGATTCACACTGATTTAGGCGATTTCAAGCAGGCTATGACTAGAGGTGGTAAAAGATATTATGTGACTTTTATTGATGATTTTTCTAGATTTACTAAGTTGTATTTGCTTAGAAACAAAAATGATACTTTTAATGCTTTTATTTCTTATAAAACTGAGGTTGAAAATCAACTTAGTAGAAAAATTAAGAGAATTGGATCAGATAGAAGTGGAGAATATTTATCTTAAAATAATTTTTGTGAAAAGAATGAAATTATTCATGAAGTAACTCCACCTTATTCACCTGAGTCAAATGGAGTAGCTGAAAGGAAAAATAGAACATTCAAAGAGATGATGAAC